TTATTGGCTTGAAGAAGGAACCAACTCACAACACACATTAACACTATTGGATGGACACTGAGTGTCCTCAGATTTCCATTTGCTGTAGTATTGGTAATCTTGTATTTGGCATCTTCTTGTTGGTCCCACGTGGACTTAATTTACAGTTTTTCTGTGTAGCTAAAAGCTTACACAAGCTAGACAATGGGTGAGGTGAATAAAAGGTAGTATTTGGTAGTACGTACTTCTTTTCGAAGTATTTACTCGGTTTTCGGTGAATAAACATGCTAGTTGGTACTAGCCTCTAGTACAAACTACGACTTGCAGGTGAATAAAATGCTAGTTCGTACTACCGCTAGTACATACTACATCACATAGGGAAAGTAGTATCTACTAGGCTTTTTCGGTGAATAAAAACCAGTCGGCGTAGTAGTTACTTCATTTTTATGTAGTACGATCAAGGGCATGCTTCAGTTTGGTCGTTTGCGAATATGGCGATGTTTTTACAAGTCCGTAACAGGAAAACATACCTTGAACGAAGAAATATTGGTAACTGTAAGCAATTACTGCGATTTGAGAATGATAGTGTAGATTTTTTTACCAACGAGTTTTTGCCTGGCAATGGTGAAGTTGAGAGAAGAGGAGGGGCACTGTCATCTCGACAGAAAATTGAAGTTTTATTTTGTTATTTTGGTGATCCGGGTAAGTTGAGCTATTTTTAGTACAAATTAAAATACCTTCTTATCGGTCGTAAATAAGATTTAATTATATAATAACAAAGTGTTTAAATAAACGATATATTTTAATTGGATTGAACATTAATTGCATATTAGGAATTATGTAAAATTGCAAATTAATCGCTTATTTTTTTATCTCGATAGGATTGTTGCGTTTTGTTATTTTCTCTTTTTAGCGAATTTCCCTATAAGGAAGTAGCTATTACTGTAGGTGGCATGGTAAGACCTAGGCCCGGGACCGATTTACTTTTTCATTTTGATGTCCCCAGAGGCCAAAACACCACCATTCGCTCAAATTTGTAGCAATGATACTTACTAGTCACTCAACACGTCTGATACAACTGCAGGCGCTGTCAGGAATGACCAACGGAATAACGACAAACAGCTGATTATCGCCGCGCGCCTGTTTTGGCTTGTTTATTAGTGAATCACTCTAGTAGGTACTAGGGGGTAGTACGTACTAGGCAGGTAGTACTTACTACATCACATAGGGAACCCCTAGTACTTACTACCTAGTTCTAGCTAATTCTTATTCACTTCGATTTGAGCAAGTGCTAGAACTATGTAGTACGAACTATGTAGTATGTACTACATTTTATTCACCTTACCCATTTTCACTACTTTGTTGCACTTCTGTTTCAGATCCTTCTTCCAGAGCGTGTGTGTGTTGGGTTACTGCTTGTTGCCGACAGCCATCGCCCTAATCGCGTGTCGTCTTATATTGGTAGCTGAACAGAACAACTTCCTCTTCATGTTGCGCTTCATGGTCACCATGATGGGCTTTGCTTGGGCCACTTTCGGTATGAATTATACTTTACTACTAAAATACTTGTATTAGTCCAACATTATTACAAATTGCCATCCATTTTGTTATACCCCTACCATTGATGTTTTTTTCAGATTTAAATTTTATTCTTTGTTTGAAGTTCATTTTTTGTAATGGTTAGTTAATGATGTTCAAAGGTTTACTGCACACATTTTCCATCACAATGGTAAAAAATAATACACAACGTTTCGGGATCTGGAATATGATCCCGTTCTCAGGTGAAAAAACAACTAACACATTACAAATAACAATACACAAAAGTCCAACCTAAGTAGGAATACACAACAGAGTAGCAGTTAAGTCATCGTACAACATGCAAAAAATAACTTATCACAAAACAAAACAAGCTATTATTGTTTTTTTTTTATTGGTTACTTTTTGCATGTTGGATCACGGCTTAACTGCTATACCTGAATGCTTCTCTTTGTAGTGTATTCCAACTTACGTTGGGCTTTTGTGTATTGTTAGTTGTAATGTGTTAGTTAAGTTTACACCTGAGGACGGGATCAGATTCCAGATTGTGAAACATTGTGTATTGTTTTTTACCATTGTGATAGAAAATGTCTGCAATAAACCTTTAAGAAATTTTATGATGTTAGTTTATTTTTTATTGTTATTCAAATAATTTACTATATCTACAAAAGTACAAATCATATTAAGGGTTTGGTTAGGCTTGATGCGAAATATAACCTAAAACTTAAAAGTCAAAGGTTATGTAAACACAATATGTATATTTAGTTAAATTTAACCCGCCAGGGACCAAGCATGGTTGTAATCTACAACAAGGTTGATCATAAAGTGTTTGATCGAAGCTTGTCCAATGATTATCCACCCCTCATCAGTGCAGGTGCTCGGACCCCTCTTTCCAAGAGAGAATTAACATCAAGTTCACCTCATTTCTCCACCTTTTGTTTTACTTCCTTGATTTTTTTTAGTTTTCATTAGAATCCTAATATTAAATTTCAATGAAGTTTATCTTAACGTATTTAAACTTTAAGTGGGCTAACACATGAAATACTGTACTAATATAACTTTTTACTTGTTAATTTCATCTTTAAATATCAGCTTACTTGAACAAAATTTTAGAGTATGGGGCTAATTGACATACGATAAACACTTACATGCGATCATTATACAATTCTTTTAATTGAGCTTGCTCAATAATATCTTCCAATAGTTTCTCTCTATATTATATCCCTTTAACCTCAATATTTTTATAATCATTCTTCACTTACTCTCAATTGTTGTATTTTACAGCCTCGACATTATTCCTGGGTGAAAGCCAGCCGGTGGGGCGGAAGGGCCTTGCAGTTTACCCGATATTCCTCTTCTACTTCGTCATATCATGGCTAGTTCTCTCACACAACGTGGATTGAACCAGCCGCCTTCAGTATTGCATGTAAATATTTTATAAATAACTTCATCGCTACTCCATTAAAGTTTGTGCTGTGGGATTTACATTATTGAAATTTGCACAAAAGATCTCTGTGGAATAGTAGATGTTTTAAGGTTGAAATGACAGTTTTATTGAGCGACTAAATTTAATAACATTCCGTGTACTTGTACTATTTTTATTTTGTGAATAAGGTAAAAATTTAAAAATCTTGATGTGTTAGGTAGTTTGTGAAATAATTCTTAAATGTAATTTTAGTCGATTTGTACTCCAAGAAACTTATGAATGAAATTCACTGTGGTAGATACCTTTGGTCGGAAAATTATTAATAATAAAAATACATTGTTAAACATATCGGGAAAGATAATTCAACGTTCTACAGTAGTTAGTCAATTATTTTCATTATATAAGTTTTCCATCTGGTTCTATATATTTATTTAATAGTAGCTGCAAACAAAATTTTATTTGTTGGAAATAAAAGCATAAACTAATATAATAAGAAACAGTTTAGAAATAATATTTAAACTTGAGCTGGGTATTTTAAATAAACTTTATATTGAAGGCTTTATATTTAGGCATATAAATTGTTTAAAGTTCCTGAGTGGTTGCTGCTGTGTAAATTTTGTACATAGGTACCAATAATAAATTTTAACAAGAAAAGAAATGGCTTATTTCTCCTTTTCTTAAAAGTATGGTTAATTATTTAGAATGTTCCGCTTCTTTCAACCTATAATTTTACCTATTTTATGAACCGTGTCTATTTTTCTTTCACGGTTCCTGACCGTACAGCGAGATAAATGTATTTGAAATCTTCAGTTCACCAACAAGCAATGTACCGTTGTAAACTTCTTATGGAGTTAAAACAATTTCATCGATGTAAAAGCCATACAAGGGATCCTTTTTAATGGGTGCATCCAACAACCTAAAGGCGAGAAGAGTTTGGATTGTTGAAAAATTTGCAAATTTTGCCAGACGTTCTTTTTACAACCCTATCTTTGTAAGATTCCATAGTTGGTCCCATAAAAACTTTTGAATTTAATTAGGTTGATAAATACTTTGCCTTTATTTTACTTAACAAAGCTAACAACATAAAAAATGAGACTCTGAAAATGGTGAACTACTACACACAACAGTCACAATACACAGTGTCCAATTGACCAGAGCTGGCGGGCTCTTGTCTGATTGAAACTTGCAGTGTGCAAGCTCTCATATCACTACATGCGCCACTGATGGCCTTGGCACGACTACCGTTTGGTTCAGTGGCAGTGGACAACTGCAGGACGCTCTCTGCAATCGCCGGGACTGTCTAATGTGAAAGCTCTCACGTTCTTGGCACTACTAAAAATAGTTGTCCGTACGGTTTTCAAACGGACAGCAAAAACTGTATTAGTGAGAAAGGAGCATTACGGATTCCCAGGACTCTTTATGTTTTAACTTATTATTTAAAAAATGAGAGGTTTTGAAAATGTTCTTTTTTTACATTCCTGGGTTTTTTTGCCGCACTCCAGTATTTCAACCAAACAACACAAAACAGTGTGCTTTTATAATGCACGTAATATGTGTACGTCTGAAAATAAGCTGGCAACACTTAAAGATACTACAACTACGATCAGCTGGTGCAGCGTTACCCATTTTCTTCAACCTTGGATTAAACCTAACCTAAAAACTTGTTGTATATTGTTTGAAAGACTAATTATTTATATTCTTTATAGTAACTGTAGGAAAAATATACTTTTTAATACTTTTTTTTCTTTGAAATGGTGACCATACAAAGGTAGGTATTTTATAATGTGTAACGCGAGCGCCAAGTGCCTTTGCTGCACTCGAGAAACCAGTCGCCTGCGGCTTGTGCGTAAACATTTCTCTCGTGTGCAGCAAAGTGCCTCTTCGCACACTAGTTAAACAAATAAAATAACTATTTCTCTATGTTCTCTATTCAACCAAATTATCAGGAGAGTAAACTTTAGTCTGAACTTGTTGATAAAAACATGGAAGAGGGGATATCTAAGCTAGAGTACAATTTAGTACTACTTGGCATCGGTCATATAAATCCTGGTGGCATTAATTTCATCAAAGTTTAAGAATACTTTATTCCTATGTATACTAAATTTCACACAAAACTACATATCCCACATGGATGATTGATCTAAGTTTTAACTAGAACTTTTCATACTTTGGTAAACAAATTTTGTACTCGTACAAGCATAAAGCAGATGAATATTCAAAACTTTAATTAAGGCATGATTATTATAAAATGTCAAAGCACACACAACAAAAACAGAAGCAAAACATCAAAAAAGTTAAACCACAGTGTAGTACCCTTGAAGGGGTATTAAAGTAAGGTTATTGATGGTTCTTTAGTTGGAAATTTCAACCATGAGGTTCAAATCTTGTTTGCTTTACATGTCAGGGTCAATACCCTCCATGTTTTCTATGAGTTCAGAAGTAGTGACGTCCGGGGTCCAGTAGTTAATGTTCCAAGCTCGTTTGAAGAAAGGATGGATTGGACTGGGTGTCGAGTCTTTCAGGACACTTTGTGACGGCTTTTTGTCTGCATCGAATGGTTTAGGGTACTTTCCTCTTTTCACCTTTCTTCTGTATTCGTAGAAATCTGGAAAATTATTTTAAACTGAAATTGTTTTATCCATTGCAACAAACCAGCATACTTTGCAGATTTTTTTAATTATTGTAACTGTATTAAAGTGATTGAGTATACTGGGACGAGTCCCAGTATACTCAATTATTTTAGCCTCGGGTAAAAAATTAATCTTACTAACTGCAATATCAACTTTCCACCTCATACTAATTTCGTCAAATTAAGGGAGAAGGAATGGATACACATCTAACTTGCCCAAGAAAAGAGCTCCAGACAGGAAATATCACACAAAAATGTCACAATACAGTACTTTATTTTGATGTTTTGCCCTATTCCTTTCTGCTGAAATTCAAATTAACTTGAGTGCTGTACAATATGTGTGTGCTACAAACTGCCTGTAACTCTTTTCTTGGACAAGTTTAGTTAGTTTTGAATCCATTCCTTCTTTCTTGGATACAATTTCTGGGCAGTCAGGTGGTAGTATAGTGCTGCCTTAAAATCTGAAGGTTACTGTTTCGATTTCAAGCGAGATTGTTTCTGGAAGACCATGGTTTGAACCATTGGCTGTTGATAAACATTAAAAAAACGCCAGCAGTGTAAATAACAGAAATAAAAATTATCACAACATCAAAACTTTTTTGAAAACAACCCTTAAATTTTTTTTTACTATTTTGATGATAATGTTCGAGGTGGAGACCTACCTTGTTTAGTGGTTGCCGTCATGTCAAAGTCTACTTTCTTGAGGCTATTAGGTGAACCTGCTCTACTCTCACGAGAACCCTGAAAATAATTTAAATGTATTTGATAACATCGACAAGTAGGCCTACCTCTCTTTAGGAAAATATAAATACATGAAATGTATAAATACTAAATATAAATTATATACAATACGTAATTTCTTAAAGAAAGACATAATTTTTCAAAGTAAAGTATGTAACTAATTCAAATATCCCAACAGAAAAATAAACGTTAAATGTTGTAACTGATCTGTCTAATTTTAGTGTGAAATGGAGCAGCAAATTTTAAAACAGCAACTTAATAGCTTTTAAAAACTGTATCAGCAATCTTACACATTCATTTTCCCATTATGTAGCTCGGCAGCTTAGTGGTTATAGTGCTCACTAGTAATAAAAAGGTTACCAGCTCGATCCTGAGAAAAGTAGCTTTTTCATGGTTCGAAACTGGATCCAGTTGTCTTCGACCATTGGGCATTCAATAAATGTTCCCGACTGGGACAGCTGGTCTTAGTAACAAAGCTACAAAAGGCATCACACTCCGTTCTACACTCATCCTTCATTCATAATCCGGTTAAAACCCCCACAAAGCTACAAAAGGCATCACACTCCGTTCTACACTCATCCTTCATTCATAATCCGGTTAAAACCCCCACATAGGTGCCGTCCCCATCTCAAAATGGTAATGGTAATGTTAACAACCCTGTATGGGCAAGCTTTGGGAGTAACTGTGGTATATTTTTTGAACCCTAGTTTTTACAGCAATGGGGGTTCCATTTTGTTTAGAATAAAAGGGGCATAACGTTCAAAATTTTAGGTCGCCGGAATTCTACACCTGGATATTTATCCCCATGAAAAAACGCCTATGTCATTTTGATGTCACGTGTCTGGGGGTAGATTTGCGACCCCAAACTTTTAGGACGGATAAATTATTTTTTATTTCAATCAACTCACATTTCTCTGTTTACTTAACAGTTGTAAAATCAAAATACCAATAAACCTGACACCGGAATTTTACCCCCGGAAATCTACCCCCCGACATCTACCCCCGGGTATCTACCCCCCGTGGTCGTCTGCGCTACGTATCGGCCAAGATTCATTGTTGTAGTTGATTTAATTAATTGGTTTATGTGAATAATCAACGGCTCTTCGGTTAATCATTACCCTCCAATATTTAGTATCAAGCATGCGATATATGGTTGTCTTGTTTAACATTATCTATCTTTCTAATTCAATGAGCTGTAACAGCCCATGTTCACCCGAACTACTTCACAGATTTTTACGATTGAGGTGTCATTTTAAAGCTTAAGGTCTAGCGCAAAGCAAGATGGTATTAAAAAGGATATTTTTATAAAGGACTTCAAAAGTTTGACCCCTAAGCATTGGATTTATTTCCAGACAGTGATTTAAATGGTTGACCAACTTTCAAATACAGTAACAACTAACAACCACTCTGTACATTCTCCTTGTCATTCTATTCTTGATGATTACAGCGTGTTCAGCCAGATGGCAGTGTATGCTATAGTTTTCGGTTAAAATAATTGAACTTTGACGACCTGTTGTAGCAGAACGACTGAACCAATTTTATTGATTTTAACGTAATTCAACGCGGAATATAATGTTCTTTAGAAAAGTGTGTAAACAGTTTTTTTGTGGATGCACAGTTTTTGAGTTATAAAATCGGCCTGGTTTTTGCCTCCCATACACTTAACTCACTTCAGAATCCGTCGCAAACTCATTTTTAACTTATTTAGGATCTCCAGATCAGATTAAAACGATTTCCAGCTTTCCCCAATTTTTGGGAGCTACAGCTGGGCTAATTTGGTAATTTTTTGGGCTAATTTGCCTGGGCTATATTGTTTGCCAAGCACTTATTACTAGTACATTGAATGAATCGGAAGTCCACCACAGTTTATAGAATATTGCACAGTTTATAAAAAGATTTATTGCAAAACTTTTTAAATGTTTGTTATTGAGTAAAAAGTGTTCTTACTAAAAGACTATAATCCTAGTTAATTCTTTTTGGGTACTATTGGTTGCCAAAAGGAATGGTTTCAAGTTTTCAACAGATAAATTATTCACATTCCTACAGGATTTTATGTCAATTAGCCTCATTGTTACGAACCGTTGATAGACAAGCATATTAAGATTATCTTGTACAATATTTAATGTCATAACTTCTCTGAATGCATAGGTTTGTTTTACAAAAAGTAAAAATTTAATTTATTAGCATAGGTATTCATCTTGTTTTTGTGTTACTCAAAATTCAGAGAAAGTATTAGAACCAATACATTGTGTAACTATGTTCTACACTCATTGCTACTACCACACATGCAAATGCAAACAAAATTCAATTAATAACAATTCACTTTAAACAAAAAACTTAAAAAGCCATCCAAACAATGTTTTAAAACAAAGTGTAATAAGCCAGTGTATTGTTAAATAATTGTTATAAGTTAACACATCAACAAATATGAAACAAAAGTAAAACACACCTTGAAACGAGTGATATAATTTCCAAACGTGATCATGTTTAAAACAGATTCACTGTTGCCTGGACATTGTACTAGAGACAAATAACAATACCAAATGATAAAATTGTCTTAGCAACTTGGAAGGAGGCCAACTGAGCCACGTTCTGCCCAATTCCTTCAACTACGACAAGTTCAATGGGCTACACGGTCGTTAGACTGGCCGAGCCAATGTAAAACTATTTAAACGTTTGAACTGTTGTAACTTCAAACATTCACTTGAACTTGACAGAGCAATGTGTCGTGTTTTTCTTGGAAGTTAAAGCTATTTACACCTAGTGTTCAATTTATCAAAGGTTTATTGTGTTAAAAATTTGAGGTAATAAATCATAAGCGTCACATGAATAATTTATTTTAGGAATAATAATATTTTTAATAAAAAAAAAACACATTATTATCCATTTATTGTCTAGAATAATTGTCTTTATTCTAATGAAATTGGATTTTTGTGTTCAACATTAGTCTACAGTATGTAAGTAGCAATGAAAAACACTCTTTTACACTGCTAAATTTATCCTAAATATACATTGCCTATGACTTGACATATAAAATTTGATTTAGTTTTTACAACAGTAAAATACCTCAATCATTTCCATTCCAAATCCCGTCATCAGTAGGAACAGCAAGATAATGATTATCCGCTCTACAGATTGTGCTGCACTTCTAAAATGGAAAATCAAATGGTCGACTAAAGCGAATGATCTGCATTGACAGTGGTTCAATTCAATTTGGCAACATTTACAGGCCTTGTAGATTTATTTCGGGCACATCTAAGTTAGATTTGTGTTCTCACTTTTGATTGGCAGTCAGTACTTTAGTCTATTGTCAAGTTCAGAAGAGACTAGATGGTGGTTGTATTTTGCAAGAAAGAGTGTACTCAAGAGAGAATTCTATGAGATCTGTATGTGCTGTGTAACTATGAATAAGTGTAAAATCACAGCTCAAAATTCTCACATATTCGCTTTTAAGAAAGCAATTACTGTGCATGTTTGAAGTTAAAACAAAAATCTAAAGTAATACAAAAGCACCCAATATTTTCACTGATATTTTTCATAGCATTTAATTTTCACCATATGTTTTTTCTCTTTATCTATATGTCAATCCATCTTGCTTTTTCAAACCATGTATAATAATTGGACGGCTTTGTAAATAAAAAAAACTTTTTTTTCAAAACCAAGACATTGATATTATAAATTCTCTTTTCCTACAGTTGCCTGAGAAAGTGGGCTTCTTACTTGCACTAATTCTAGCACGCAAGTAGCTAATTACTGCATTTACTTACTTTTGCCGCACTCCAGTATTCAAACCAAACAGCACAAAACAGAGTGCTTTCATTAGGCACATAATTAGTGTACGCTTGAAAATAAGTTGGCAACACTTAAAGATACTACGACTAGATCAGCTGGTGCAGCGTTTCCCATTTTGTTCAACACTTTGATTTAGCCTAACCTAAAAAGTTTTAATAGTGTTTAAAGACTTATTTTTTACTAGCAGTTACCTGGCACGCTTTGCTGCGCTTAACAACTATTATTTTAAATGGTAATTTGTTCATTAAGATGAATAATAAAAGTGTATACCAAAAATAAAAATAGAATATTTTACTTAATTGCTGGTGATTAAACGATGTTTTTTTTTGTTTTTTCATTAGGTGTATAAATATAGAAGTTTTCAGGCGTACCTACCACCCCGTGAGCACGCAACATACAGCTGTCGGTGTGAAAAGCATGCATTTTCTAAATTTAACACGTTCGCTACTGCAATAGTACAAAATTTTTAATTCACATGGACCAGCGACGCACATATGCGATGGTCGGTTTCCACCCATAGTCTGCTGTCGCATATATGCGACGGTTAGTCACATTTAAATAGACTGACGACGCATATTTGCGTCGGGGTTCTAATGTTATTAAAATGCTTATATCTTTGTAACGGTCTATTTGAAGGCACTGAATTCCCTGCAGTGGTCTACAGACGCACAACTGCATCGCTGGTCTGTGGATATGGTGATTGGTGACGTCATATGATAATTGGAAAACTGGTCTTTACTTTTCTGGAATACCGTATGTATGTATGCAGTATTTATGCTGCATTATCCTCTGTAGCTTTTATATTTGTTTAGTTATAAACTGTTCTTGAATAATCTGTCTTTTTACTTACTTTTACTATTTACAAACACGATTGTAGCACATTATAATGTAAATGATCACTGTTTTACAGGTTTTCACCCGTGGTCTGTGTGTACTGTTAACCAAGTGACAGCCGGTCTATGTGTAAGATTCAAATGTATACCTCGGTCTGTGGCAATGACCGCGGCGTCGCATATCAGTAGCGATTGTGTTAAACCGACAATAGTCAGAAATTGCCCTAGTGTCTTATAATGGTGATTGCGAAAGCAAGACACAAAGGAAATTGTTGTTTCGTAAATTCAGAGGGTAATTCGGAAGAAATCATCAGTATTCTTGGGATTAAGACTATTTATCCTTTAAACTTACCACTGATAATTTTTGCTTCAATGAATTTTGGTGTCATTTTTTTAATAGTCAGTCTAGTAACGTTGCACAGCTTCGGTGGATTTAAGTTTCACATTAGTATTATTGGAGTTCCTTCTTTTAAAGACAGTAATGGGGTGGGTTAATGACAAATTGAGAGGCATTTCAATACCCGAGATAGCACGCACGATTATTATTCTCTTAATAATTATGTTAGATTGTGTGGGTATGAAACAAAAGATAAAAATATTAAGGCATTTATCCCTTTTATTGTTTATAATACTTTGATAAAGGTTTTTATGTTTACATATTTAAAATTGGAGAATTTAAACGTTGTTGAGTGCTCAGGTGTGCTGCGATTGGGGTTTGATATATTTGGACTTATTCAAAAGTAAAATAGTTTTCTGTGCTGCACTCTCTAGAAACATTGTGGCACTATTTAAAATCATGACTAATACCATAGACTAAGCAACACAAGTAGACTCCTCATCCCATTGTACATTTTGTAGTTAGTTTTTTATGACTAGTTCATGTACGTCCACACCGATCGCTGCGGTAGACAAAATTTTGTTTCTATTATTTTAGGGTTATTTTCATGATTTGTGCTTTACTATTTGGTTATATAACGAGGAGACCAGTTATTGTTTATGATTACATCGTTTTATTTGGTTAAATGAGGTTTTAAATGACTGAAATAACAAGAAACAAATTGTAAACAAAACACAACCTCCACAGTTGGACGTACAGAACTAACAATAAAATTGGCTTCAGCTGCTACATAAGGATGACAAATCTACTAAGGGAGTATGTTTATCTATGCTAATACAGAATGTTGTGATTATTCAAACCTACAAAACAGTTGGTTAAAGGTAAAAGTAAACATCTGCTTTAAAATTATATTTATTTGTAAACATTGCAGTTCAAAAAGTCTGACATCAACTTCACACAAACCATCCTTGAAAGATGCTTAATAATGCCTGAAAGTTTCATTACAATCTGTCGAGCGGTTTGGGAGTCCATAACGTATATCCATATATACATACATACATAGTTCCTAGATATAGATATGCTTTATAGCAACTGTAGGAAAAATATAACGTGTAACACAAGCACAAAGTGCCTTTGCTACACTCGAGATACTTTCCACAGCCGTGCGTAAACATTTCTCTCGTGTGCATCATAGTGCCACTTTGCACACTAGTTAGAAACACAAATAACTATTTAATTACTCAAGATTTTTTTGTTTGTATACAGTTAAAAGCTGTATACAAATGATAACTTGTTACTATATCAATCAATGACCATGAAAATACTGTACAAATAACAGTTTTGATTTTGGCCATAACTCCAAGATGTACTCTTAATTAACATATTAACATTAAAATAAAAGTGTTCTTCGATTTTATGTCTGGTGGTTGAATGTTGTTAAAGCTCACTATTCAAAATTGAATTACTAAAAATATCCCATTAAACTGATTGTCTTCCTTTATAGCTTTAAGAATAATGAAAAGCACGTTTTAATTTTTGTTTGTTTTTATATTAAACTAGCATACCTGTCGCGTGTTGCTGCTATTTCAAGAAAGTTAACCTTTCCATAATGAATCTCTGGAAGGTCTTTTGCATTTTTAGAGCACTCCATTATTTGTTATTTTTAATAATACATATTATTTATTATATAATTAAATAGTAAAACGTCATCAAACAGTAAAACGCCATTTCGCTTCAAAACATTTAATCAAGTGCTTTTTTGTAAACAACACTTTTTGTTTTTCCGTTGATGTGTAATCAGAAAGATTATTTGGTTTTCCAAAGCGAGAGCAGGTCACATAAAGTTGTCCATTGTGTTGTAATATCAATACCGTACTAATGCATTAAACCGTTAAACCTGTACAAAGAACGGTTATACAACTAATTTATTTTATAAAATTGTTAGTTTGAGTTTCCATATTTATTGGGAGAAACATTTAGTCTTGCCTCAAGATCAGTTAACTATATAAAATGTAAAAAAAATTGCCAATTTGTGTTTTACAAAGATTAGAACTCAACGTATCCTGATTTGAACTTACCTGTTTTAACACTTTTTTCTAAACCAGGGGCAAACAATAACTGCACCACCAAATGAAAAATAAAAAAAATACAAAAAAATTCAAACCAACAAATATTTTATACAAAATTCCATAAACTGGGTTATTAGGACAAGGAAAATAGTCTTTGAAAAATATTTGCATTTCTGTCTTCTCCTCTTCGTTAGTATGTTCGTCCATCGTGCACTATTACTAAAAGAAGAAAATTTTTGCTTAGCACCCTATTTGCAGAAATGGCTTCATGCCTAATAGTACTAACTTGAACAATTGCCACCTCATGCGATATCTTTGTTTGGCTTAAGTTCTCTCAAATCTATAAATTGTCTAGATAATTGCTTATTGCTAAATCTACGTTTATAACAGGCTGGTTATAAATTGCAGTGAAATAACAATAAAAATAACCTATGATTAGCAAATAGGATAAATTTTTTAATAAACTAATCGCTTAACAGCTAAGACCTCACAAAATTTTATTACAAGAATGGACAGCTCTATGACACATACCGGTACTGGATTAATATCAGTTTGCTTCATAGATTAACTAATGAAATAATTTTATTAGTTTAATTTATTTAGTAATTTTTGTTTCATCGAAAAGTAAAGTAAAGTAAAGTTTAACATAATTATAAATACTAGAGGCCGTCCAGTGGTGGAAAACTCGCCAAAAAAATATGTATCGGTAATGTACATTCATTTTTGTGCTTATTTTTGAGCCTATTTTAATTTCTTAAGGGATTTTGCACATCTACAGGAAAATATCTTTCTAACAGTATCCATAGATTTTCCCTGTGAAGCACACAAGCTGAGAAAAAAGGTTTTCAAGAAACATGCTTGCCAAAAATTATGGGGACGTGCAGGCTTTTCTTTTTGTTCGGTATAATTGCGTACTATCAAAGTATAACCAATGTATTTAATAGATTCTGGGCTTCATGACTACCAATAAACAGTGGCGGTTTGGCGAACTATTTCTTTTCCCTGTGTTTGTTTATCTGCTTGTTTGTTTTTGTCTATGGTTATCATAGCGATTGTTTCAGTGTTCAAATCTTTGCTTTTATAAAGTTTAGTAATCATTTTAAAAATAAACATATATTTTCTTTTTTGTCATTTAATTTAGAATAATGTATACAACATTTTTTTTATTT